TGATGAGGGCAACGGGTGTACATAGGTGCTTGACTCAGTGGATGTATGTATGGACTGTGATAAGAAATGTATGAGCCCTCAATAAAATAATTTTTTTAAAAATTTAGTCTCCAAATCAGAAAACATTCATAAGGGTCAGCATACAGACCTGGAACTATTCATAGGCTATCTCTTTCTTTTTCCCCCCATGTCTATCTATATAAGATATTTATATCTATATAAGATATTTATTTCCAATCTAGAATCATCATTATTTCGCCTCACCAGCGCTGCATCGATGTCCGAATGTTGCAGCAGCCCTAGAAAATGTCTATTCGTGGTCAAACACGTACGCCCTAGACTTACATACATTTTGTGATTAAAAAAACAAACAAACATCGCCCTGGAACGGGTGATGGTTTTGGATCTCCTACCTGGCCCTGAACAGCGCGGCGCTGAACCCGCTGCGCCACCAGGACCATCGGTGCTATCTCGCTCGGCAGCCTCGGTCAGCTGGGGTGACGGGTGCGGACGGGGGACGCCACTTTGGGAACAAAGTCCTGCCTAGAATAGGCAGCTTTTCACAAGCATTCTCTCACACCACTCCTCCTTAGAATGAGGAAGTCGGAAACCCTCAAACGGGAGCGTCTCGTCTCGGGTCACGAGCAGCTCGCTGGCGCGCAAGCGCGGCTGCTCACCCCGCCCCCGGCGCTCTCCCCGCCCCTTCCAAGAGCTGACGCTCCGAGGGGCGGTAAACGACCAATCGGCGCGCGCCTCGGCGAAACGGTGCTTCTCATTGGCAGATTCAGTCTGAGAACGTCGCCAATCCGCATGCTTGGGGGCGGGCCTGAGGGCCGGCGGCCCACCCTCGGAGACCGCCCTGGAAGCACGTGACTTGGGGCGCTTGTCGGAAACTGTGGTGGGGAGACCCCCCAGCACCTAAAGCTCGCGATGGTGAGTAAGGACGCATGCGCGGGGATACTCGCCAGGGGGTTCTCCAGTCCTGGTCCCTAGCCTTCCTGCTTGTCTTTTCCTGGACCTGCGTACCACCCCCCGTCCCCCCGCCCCCCGGACCGAGATGGAACGGATTTAGGAGGTGGTGGCAACTTAGAGGGCTAAGGAGGGAGGATTGGGGGGTGGACAAGGCGAGGAAGGGGCGGGGCACGAGCGAAGTTGAAGGAGGGTCCGAAGTGAGGGGCCAATGGGGCTGCGGAGGTGTCTGGGTAACAAAGGTGGGGTGTGGGACGCCGTGGGAGCCCACCGGCCCAGAGTGAGGATTGATGGAGGCTCCGAAGGCAAGGGGAAGCAGTGTTGGAGGCTACGTCGAGGGAAGAGGGTTTGGAACAGCCCTGGGAGTGGGATAGGGATGGGGGGCGAGGGGTGGGGAGAGAAGGCCTAGGTTCCATCATCCAGCAAGGGACGTGGGCTTGCAGGTTACAGTTATCCGGGTGTCTCCGCCCTACCATGCTTCTTACCGATTGACCCTTTATATCCACTAGACTTCTGCGCTGACCCAGGGGCTGGAGCGAATCCCAGACCAGCTGGGCTACTTGGTGCTGAGCGAAGGCGCGGTACTGGCGGTGCGTTCTGGGGTAGGGGAGGGGATCCTGCCAGCACACAAGGCCCATAGTCTCTCCCACAACTTCCTATTCTGCCTCAATTTGGGCTATTTTTGGCATTACCTCGTAGTATGCCTGGCATGTAAGAAGATTTCAGTAATCAATTAAAGCTTCCAACTTCTCTCGGATAAGAGAGACTTACTATTATTAGAGTCCTGGTGGCATGGCGGGTTATGAGTCGGGCTGCCAATCGCAGGGTCAACAGTGGTACTCCACCAGCCCCTCTAGTGGGAGAAAAACGAGGCTTTCTGCCCGTGTTAAGATTGGCAGCCTCGGAAACCCAAAGGGGCTGTTCTACTCAGCCCTATAGGGTTGCTGAGTTGGAATCAACTTCATGGTTTGGGTTTCTTTGGGTACTGATTCTATTCACCACAGATTTGTTGATAACATACTACCAGAGTCTTTGATTTGGTGTTGATTGAAGAGGCTTTGTATTTTGTCCCATAGTACCATGTAGAGTTAAAAGTACCACAAGCTCTCAATCACTTGAGCTACAGAGACAAGGCTTAAGAGGTTAAAAAGGTGAGAACCATAGGAGTGATTGTAAGGTGTTATGGCAAGGAAGCTTTCTTAGGGGTAGAAAGTGAGCTGAGCCGTAATGGTTGGGTGATTGTGAACAGAAAGAAATGGGGTGCTTGAGGGGCTGGGACATGGACATGGACACATTTGCAGGCGTGACACTAGGAGGAAGATATTGTAAGGGAAGGGTCAGGGCTTCCGAAGCCAGGTTCACATATGTGGGCTTGATCTTGAAGGTGTGAGGGAACTATTGAAGGCTATTGAACAGGAACATGACCTGATGAAATGGCTTAGCAAGATTGTTGTTAGCAGCGTGAAGATGGACGGGAGGGTGCCGAGCTTAGAAGACAGGGCGGCTAGACTGAATCAGGGTTGGTGGCAACAAGGAGTGAGAAAAGAGAGTTCATAAAGGCATGGCTGTGATAAGTAACGGGGGAGATACTTCTCTATCCAGTGGGAACTCACGACTAAAATGAAGGTGCCTTCACAGCAGTTCAAAACTGCCGGCTGCTCCTTGGGAGAAAGACGGTGCTTTCTACTCCGGTAAAAAGTTACCATCTCGGGAACTCACAGGCAGTTCTACCCCATCCTCTGGGGTGGCTAGGAGTCGGCATGAGCGCTATGGCAGGGAGTTTCATTTTGTTTTTTTTAACAAACAGGAAATCAAGAAGGGAAGTTGCTGTTAGGGAAGGAGGGAGATTCCAGTGCTTTGGCTTTAAACATTGAGTTTGATGTGGAATAATAGCAGTTAATATCACTGGTAGGCACTGTTCTAAGCATCTTGTCAATATAATCTCATTTATTCCTCACAATAAGGTACTGTTTATAGCACCATGAGTTAAGTGTTGAGTTGCTAACTGCAACATTGGGTGTTCAAACGCACCATCCACTCCGAGGGATCAAGATGAAGCTCTCTGCTCCCGTAAAGACTGAGTCTCAGCAGAGACCCCAAGGAGCAGTTCTACTCTGTCCTATAGAAGGGCCGCTCTTGGTAAGAGCCAACTTGGATTTGGTTTGAGGAGTTCGTTTTATATTATCCCCAATTTCCACAGATGAGGAAAGGAGGTCCAGAATGTCCAAGGGAGCAAATCACACTGAACTTTCCCAGTGGAGGGTCCTTATCTGGGAGGTGGGACCAGGAAGTTGAGTCATCAGAAAAGGGAAACCTATGGGTCACAGTACCGTCCCCAAGGGCTGGGTGGTAAGGAAGGGCTCAACTCTCAGCGGAGCACTTAATGATTCAGTGGTCATTTTCAGGGATGGGTGTTGGTTTCAGGGGCTTTATCAGATTGGTAAGCAGAGGAAACAAAGTCAAGTTTCAAGGAGTTAGGAAAACCGTGGTAAACCGTGGGCGGGGTGGGGGAGGTCCAGTAATAGAAGGATGAGAACTCGTGACACAGGAAACTAAACATCAAAGGAAGGATTTAGGTTTGTTTTCCCAAAACTGAGCTAACCTGGGGATTTTGGAAAATGAAGAGGGAGAGGCCGCAAGTACTAGAGACAAGGGGGCTGTGCTGGAAATTCCAACCCAATTCTCATCCCTATTTCTGCCCTCCTCCTTCCCGCTGTCTGCAGTCGTCTGGGGACCTAGAGAACGATGAGCAAGCAGCCAGCGCCATCTCTGAACTGGTCAGCACCGCATGTGGTTTCCGATTGCACCACGGCATGAATGTGCCCTTTAAACGCCTGTCTGGTGAGCCCCAGGCCCTTCCCCTGGTGGTCGGGGGTGGGTGGGGGGGTGTGAGGAGCAGGGGCTTCTCCTCCCTGGCTCTTCCCACTGGGCCCCCTCCCCAGGTTACACCTCCCCTACCCCCTGGATAAGAATCAAGTAGGAAGACGATTTTGTGGGAGCCTCTTTTGAGCCTTGACCTAGGGAAAGCCCTTGGCTTTTAATATCAGCCCGTGACCCCACGGTGGCCAGCGCACCATTAACTCTCCTCCCTTCCCTCTCCCGGGACGGGGGAGGTGGGGGGCTCTCCTCTCCAGTGGTCTTTGGAGAACACACTCTGCTGGTGACTGTGTCGGGACAGAGGGTGTTTGTGGTGAAGAGGCAGAACCGAGGCCGGGAGCCCATTGACATCTGAGCCTGCCGTGGAGGCCTTTGCGAGACACGTGCAGTAGGTCCGTGAGCCATGAGGGAGGAGGAATGCTGTGTGCCCTCTGCTACAACCAAGGCCCCCTTCTGCTCGCCCACCTCCCCACCTACCTGGAAGGGCAAAGTCTTGGAGACTTTGTGCAGTGTTACCGAGGGAGGGCCAAGGGACTGACCTCTCGCTTCGTTCTTTCCTTTCCTCCCCCTTATTAAATATTAATAAACCTGGTGTTCCCAGGTCTCCTGGGTGTGTGTGTGTGAGTTTGCCTGTGGGGTTCATGCCTGTGTTTGTGGGGGTGCGGGGCATGGAGTTCATGCCACTGGTCTGTCTTCTAGCTTCTCGGGACAATGTCATGTACCCAGAGGGTAGGGCAGGGATGATTCTGGGCCTCTGCCCCCTCCATCAACACACAAGTCATTCTTCCTCCTGGACAGGCATTGAATAGTCTTTTAATTCCATTGGAAGCAGTAGAAGGAGAATAATTTACAGGACAAGACCAAAAAAAATGTAAAACACACAACATAAAGTGCTTCAGGCTGCAAACGTAAACATGAGGGGTAGGTGGAGGTCGCTAGCTGTCTCCCCGGCCCCCAAGAGGGAAGGGGCACGGTCTGAGGCTTCTTTCCCACCACCACCTTCTCAGCTCAGCCCTGCAGCTGGGTGGGAGGGAACTTCAGAGGCAGGGAAACACAACTCAAGAGGAATGAGGACAACACTTTGTAAACTTCGAAGGGCCTGAGGGGGGTAAGGCAGCTCTTGGAGCCTTTGCCCTGGCCTGGGGGTGGGACCAGCCACCCCCACAGGAACTTGCTGGGGGTATCGGGGGGAATACTGTTGACATGTGCTGCAGTCATACCCACCCAATTCACAGCTTCTCATCAGCAGACACAGACAGACAGACAGGCCTGTGGGGCCTCTTCACCCTCTGGGGGAGGTAGCAGTCTGGGAGGGAGGGGAAGATCCTTTCTGCAGTTTCTGGTTCGAGGAGTGGAGGGAGGCAGGGAGCAGGCCCCGTGCTATTTGACGGGCTCCACCACCAAGACCTTGCACTCGCGTTTGGCGATCTTGTCCAGTGAGAGCACTGCCTTCTCCGGGGGCAGGTAGAGGGGACGGCCCACAGGTGAGGCCACAGGGGGCGTGATGGCCCTGCGTTCCATTACACTGCCAGACCTGAGAGAGGGGGTGGGCTGCAGTCAGAGGCCTGGGGAGCCGGGCTCCAGCCTCTCCCAGGCCACCCCACCTCCCCATTCCATACCTCATGAGGTGGCTGCGGGAGGGCTGTTGGTGGGAGAAGGACTGGGAGCGGCCCAGGCTCGCCTGGTGCCTCTCCACTAGGTCCCGCACGGCAGGGCTGCTGGGGCTGCTCTTTCGAGAGAGGGGCCGGGCCTCGGGCGGAGGGTGAGAGACGCTGGCTGTGAACTGTAGCTTCAGTTTCATGTGTTGGCTCAGCTAAGGGTGGCAGACACAGATGAGCCAGCCAGCTTGGCTTCCAGGGCCCCCATCGAACGAGTCGATGCCCCTGACCCAGGGCAGCCCTACAGGGCAGGGTAGAACTGCCCCGTGAATTTCCGTGACTGTGGCTCTTTCCCGGAGTCGAAAGCCCCGTCTTTCTCCCAGGTAGTGACCGCTGGTTTCCCCGCGGTGGACCTTGCAGCTGGCAGCCCAGCATGGAACCACTGCACCCCCCAGGGCCCACCCCCCAGGGCAGGCCTACCTCAAACCTGAAGCTCCCCTTTCTCTGCCCAGCTTTTTAGGGCCTCACCCCCTCCAACATCTCACCCACGGAAACTAAGGGCTCTGATTCTTCACGCGCCACCATCTGCCCCCACACAGCCCTGCCTACCTCGAAGAGCCCGGTCCTGAGAGCCTGGAAGGCCACGCGGAAGGTGAGGGCACTGCCCTTCCGAGAAAAGCCAAGGTTGTTCAGGGGCGTGTGGCAGACGATGGAGTCCAGAGCTGCCTGCATGGCCCGGCGTTCCTCCTCACACAGCTGCTTCCCTGAGGGGACAGAAACAGGGCCCGGGGACCCAGGTGTACCGCGCGCCCCAGTTCACATGGTCTCCCTTGAGCCATCAGGCAATTCTGGAGGCGAACCGACTAAAAGGCTCGCCTTTTGCCACATCGGCTAGCTGAACGAGAGCAACTCGGTGAGTGGAGGTCTGTGCCGACCGCTTACAGGCATACTACCCCCGGGGGTATTCTGTTCCCCATCTGGAGAGATGAAAAATCTGAGGCCCAGAGCAGTGACGTCATTTGCCCTCAGTCACGTGGCTTGTAAACAGCAGAAATGGGACTCGGGGCTTCCAGGGAGCCGCGGCCCAGTGCTAACCCTTAAACTTACCCAGCCAGCTGCCTCTGAAGACCCTGTGTGACAGCAGATACCACCCAGGTCGAGCTGAAGCAGCAGGCTTCCCGGCACCTGCTGGCAGGCCGACCCCAGGCCTATGGGAGCTGTCTTCACTGTCCTGGGACTTCCTCCTCTCCCTCCCAACCCTGGGCCCCAGCCCCAGGCGGCTGACCCACCGGCCTGAGCGTGCTCGGGGGTCCACACGAGCCTCACAGCGAGGAAGTCCTGGAGATTGTTGAGCAGCGTGTAGGTGACCGTGAACCGCTCGTAGGTCCGGATGGGAGACTCGCAAGAAGCGGTCATCACAAAGCACGGGCGGTCCAGGCGGATACTGGGCAGGCTGGAAGTGGGAAAGAGGCAGCGTTGTGGGTCAAGTCGAGGAACAAAAACGTGAGCAGGGTGGTGTACCCAGCAGGTGGTGGTGGGGGTCCAGGCCCTCACCGGTAATGGGTGTAGATACTCTGGGTAAAGGGCAGCTTCGGGGTGGACCACTGCACCACAGCGATCAGGGGTACTTCCAGGCCCTGCAAGAGGAGCAAAGAGAACCATCCCCCCACCCCACCTGTGTAAGATGTCCGAGATGAGATCTTTTGTCCACAACCCCAACTCTTCCTCCCAACCCACTGGGACTTCTCCTTTACCAGTGAACAACAGCAGCCTTTTATCCTCACCTCCTTGGCTCCTGGAGGGGGCTGCTCACCCCCTCTCAGCTGAAACAGGAAGTTGTGTTCCTCCAGGGCACTCAGCGGGCAGGGGAAGCAGCCAGAGGTGCCGGGGAGCCGGCAGAAGGAGCCCATGGAGACCTCTCCAGCCTGGTGACTAGTTCAGGAGGGAGGAGGGCAGAGTGATGATGTCACCGTGCCAGAGCTCCCAGCCCCTCCACGCGGGCCCCCAGAGCCTCACCAGACGTTGTCCACCAGCAGCACAGAGCCGTCTGGCATGACAGGTAGGTAGCTGGCATTGAAGTTCGGGAGGATTCGGATATCCCGGATGGAGATTTCCTCCTGGGAGGAGCTGTTCAGCACTGTGGGGAGGGTAACCAGGTCGGCTAGGGAATATCGAGATGCCTGAGACCCCAACTGTAACCTCCCGTGCTCCCCAAAATAGATCTTCCCCCCACCAGCCTGCCCAAGCATGGCCCTCATTGCGCCCCAAGAATTCAGCGGGCCCATCTGCTCACCTTTGAGTACAGTCAGGTGTTTGCCGGCCACAGTGAACTGCCGGCATTTCAGAATGGGCGGGGGCAGCAGAGTCAGCAGGGTGCTCACTGAGGGCGTGAGAGGAAGAGAAGAGCCGCTGGGCCCAGGCCAGTTCTAATCTCCCTCTTCTCCCCAGATCACACTTTCCCTGCAGTACCCCTCCATTGTGTCCCCCACTCCCACATTTCTCTGCATTCTCCTCCCCACCTTGGGCCTTGAAAGCACTCTGCTCTCCTCGGAAGGTCTCCCCAGGAGATCGCGTCTGCAGCAAGCGCAGGTAGCCTTGATCTCTGACCTCAGGTGCCTCGACCTCCCGCTTCCACACGGTCACTACAATCTGGGCACAGGGGACACAGGACCACAACGGTCAAGAGGCGAGAGACAGCAGCGGGACCTCAGATCTGAGTGTAAATTAGGTCAACAGCCAGGCCCTTGGCACACTTACCTTGGCCTTGGGTGTCCCTGGGGGCAGTCTGTCCAGTGAAACAGTGAGTGGGAAGATGACCTCATCCGTGGAGACTATTGGTTCCTCCATAGGCAGCTAGGGTTTGGTAAAGGGGGTGAACAGGTCACCGTCACAGTTGGTTCAAAGAGGCAGCCTACCTTGAAGCCCTTTAAGATACGCAGCGCAAGGCTCTTACCCTCTCCTCTTTTCGCCTCACCTATCATCCGCCTTGGACCCCTCAGTGTCTTATCTCCCAAGTCTCGGAGCCCAGCACTCCTCCCCTCCACCTGGCGCCGTTTGATCCCCAAGCTCCTCACCGTGGTCGCTCCCCCTGAGGTAGCAGGGCCCGGGCCGTGGGTCAGAAGGGGGCTGCAGCCTCGGAACAAGCCCCCACCTCCTGGGTCCCCAACCCCTCCTGGGGGTTCGGGATCCGAGTCGCCAGTGCCACCGACCCCGGGAGCCCCGCCGCCGGCGCTGACCGAGGCCAGGGCAGCCAAGGTGGTGGCCAGTTCTGCCCAGGCCCCTCGGGAGCCCAAGCCCACGCCGCCCCCGGCACCGGACCCCGCGCCGCCCCGGCAGCGCAGCACCAGCAGAAAGCGGACAGTCTCCCCCAGGTACAGATGGTTCCGCCGGGGCAGCGCCCGGTACCGGCCCGGGTCCCCCGTCAGCTCGGCGCGAGGCGGCAACGGCACCGCCGGAAAATACATCGAGTAGTCGCACTGGGACTCCATGGGGCAGCGAGGGCCGGCGCCCCGGCGGAGGGCGAGGGGGGCTGGGTCCCGAGGCCAGCACCGGCGGGCCCGCGGAGGGCGAGGGGGGCCCGCTGGGGCGGGTCCGAGGAGCCCGGCACCCGAGGGGTGCTGCGCGAGGCCGGGGCGGCCCGAGAGCCCAGCCCGGTCCGGGAACCGGGGCCACAAACCCGGAACCGAGAGCCGGCGGGACCGTAACCAGGCAGCTGGACAGAATGACTGGCGAGAGACCGGAAGCGGAAAGGAAGGGGCGTGGCCTCCGGGGCCCCGGAGTCTGCGGTTGATTGGCCGGCGGAGGAGAGGGGCGGGGCTGCTGCGAGAATGGCAGGCAAGAGAGCCGGGGTCCCCGAGACGCCCGGGCGTAAACGGAGTTGGCTGGACTGAACGCCTGGTCACCAGAGCTGCTTTTTTAAAATAAGAGTTGTTTCATTGTAAATTAGGTGGCGGTGATTAGGTGCTTTGGAGTCGGTTCCGACTCAGCGACCCTCTGCCAAACGCAGGGAAACCCTGCGGGGTCCTGCGCCATCCTCACAATTGTTTAGGTTTGAGCCCGTGGTTGCAGCCAGGTGTCACTACGCCTTTTCCAGGGCCTTCCTCTTTTTCACTGTCCCCCTGCTTTACCAAGCATGATGTCCTTCTCCAGGGACTGGTCTCTCCTGACAGCATGTCCGAAGTGCAGAAGATTTGTCTCTCCATCCTGGCCCCTAAGGAGCATGCTGCATGGCTGTACTTCGTCCATCGCAGATGGACTCTTGTTTTGGCAGTCGGCGGTACTTTCAGTATTCGTTGTCTGCAAAACCACTCAATGTATCATTTAGGTGAGGGTTTACATTTCAGATCATCAACTTTGTCTTCAAACAGTTGTAGCAACTCATCCCCTCAATAGTTTACCCTTCAGCTCCCCCAGGGTTTCTCCTCTCCCTTTTAAGGACTACTGTCTTACATTCCACCCAACTTTACCCAGTCATTAACAGTCTAGCCCATGGTTTTAGTTCCCACCGCCCCACACACACCCCTGCCTTTGTTGGCAGTCTCTGAAGTCTGTTCTCTTTGGTATGAAAGTCTTTGTCTTGTGTGCTTTTTCCCTGATAACCAAAAAAACTCACTCTCAGACTCAGGGACCCTATAGGGCAGAGGAGAACTACCCCAGTGAGTTTCTGACCCTGTAATTCCTTACAGGACTAGAAAACCTCTTTTGCCCACAGAGCAGCTAGTGGTTTCAAACCACTGACCTTATGGTTAGCAGCTCAACACATAGCCACGACACCACCAGGACTCCGGCTCCCTTATAACAGAGGGCTCATATAATACGTGTCCTTTTGTGATTGGCTCATTTCACTCAGCATAATGTTCTCCAGGTCCACCTGTGCCCTCAGTGCTTTCGTTTCAGCATTGTTTTTGAGCATTGTGGTGTTCCACTGTGTGTACATCCCGAGTTTCTTTATCCATTCTGTTTCCGATAGGCATTTAGGTTGTTCCAATCTTCGTGCCATTGTGAACAGCAATACAGTGAACATAGGTGTACATATGTCTGTTCATGCTATAACTCTCTGTGTTAGTCTGGGTAGACTAGAAAAGCAAATCCATAGACACGCATATGTGTACAAGAAAGAGCTTTATCTACAAGAGCAAATGTATATTGAGAAAACATCCCAGTCCAGATCAAGTCCGTAAGTCCAATATTAGTCCATTTGTCCAATACCAATCTATAAATTCCTCTTCAGACTCATGTAACATATGCAATGATGCTGAATGCAGGAAGACCACAGGCCAGTGGGTGGAAAGCCTTGTGGATCCAGTGGCGGTAGAGACATCTCAGTGCTGGCAGGTTCTCCACGTGGCTCCTCCAGGTCCAGGGCACTAGCTTATGTTGGGAGCCGGTGGCCATTAAGGCCTTAGCCTCAGCCACGAGCCGAACTTGGCTGCTTCCTGGTTGTTGTGTTGTCTTTCATTTGCTACATCTGTGGGGACTGGCCCTGCCTAAATTCCTGCCTCCCCGTTCCTAGCTACGTGCTCTGTAGCACGGGCAGTTGTAAAGTTGACCTTTTCACCCATTGGTTAATAATGCCAGGCGCTCATTGGAGCTTCTTTAATGTACATGTTGGATTGGATGTTGTGTCGCACACCTTATTAAAATATGCACCTCCCAGTTCCCCTTTTTTATACCCCAGCTTTGCCCAAATAAATGAGTTTGATCAGAGTTTTGTCTTGCTCCACGTCCCCGTGTCTTTTTCTCCATCCAGGTTCGTCTTTCCCTGCAGGGCCTTGCTCGTGCTTCCCGCAGGCCGGGATGCAACAAGCTTAGCTCTGTGTATCTTTTCTGCAGGAAAAAGTGGGGAGTGAGCATGTGTCCCGCCTCCAGTGAGCGATTTATCTCCTTAGCGCCTCTAAATGAGGTCATCAAGCTTCAACCTGATAGACAGGCTAGACTCCACCTCTTCACTCGTCTCAGATTGACAACAGATGATGTAACTTCCACACTCTTCTTTAGGATATATACCCAGCAGAGGTTTTGCTGAATCACATGGAATTTTTTATTCACAGTTGTTTAAGGTAGCAAGCATCCTGTTGCTTTCCACAGAGGTTGTGCATATTTGCAGCTCCACCAGCAGTGTGTGAGGACTCTAATCTCTCTGCAGCCTCCCCAGCATTTGTTATTTTCTATTGTTTGGTTGTTCTTTATTTTAACCCGGATGCCATGTTGATGTAGGCTGGTATTTCACCATTGCTCTGATATGCATCTCCCAGAAGGCTAGTGAGCGTGAGCATTTCTTCCCATATCTCTTTGCCGCATAGATGTCATCTTTAGTGAACTCTCTGTTTATGTCCTTTGCCCATTTTTAAGTTTGGTTATTTGTCTTTTTCTTCATGATGTGTTGCAGTTTTTTAGAGATTTTAGAGATTAGTCCTTTGCCTGTTGTGTCATTGTTAAGATATATATGTTCCTAAGCAAATGTGGTGAAGAAAGCTGATGGTGCCTAGCTATCAAAAGATACAGCGTCTGGGGTCTTAAAGGCTTGAAGATAAACAAGCAGCCATCTAGCTGAGAAGCATCAAAGCCCACATGGAAGAAGCACGCCAGCCCGTGAGATCATGAGGTGTCAATGCAATCAGGTATCAGGCATCAAAGACCCAGAATAAAACCATACCCAAGATGAATGGGGAGGACGGAGTGGAGACCCAATGCCCATCTGTAGACAATTGGACATCCCCTCACAGAAGGGTCACAAGGAAGAGACAAGCCAGTCAGGGTGCAGTATAGCACCCAAAAAACATACAATTTTCCACTAGCTCTTTAATGCTTCCTCCCTCCCCACTATCATGAGCCCAATTCTACCTTACAAAGCCAGCTAGACCAGAGCATTTGCACTGGTACAGATAAGAGCTGGAAGCACAGGGAATTCAGGACAGATAAACCCCTCAGGACCAATAATGAGAGTACCCAGGAGGGGAAGGGGAAGGTGGGGGGAGAAAAGAGGAACCGATCACAATGATCTACATATAATCCCCTCCCTGGGGATGTACAACATTAAAGTGGGTGAAGGGAAACATTGGTCAGTGTAGGACATGAAAATAATAATTTATAAATTATCAAGGTTTCATGAGGTGGGGGGGGGATAAGCTGATACCAAGTAGAAAGAAAATGTTTTGAAAATGATGGCAACAAATGTACAACTGTGCTTGACACAATGGATGGATGGATGTATTGTGATAAGAGCTGTATGAGCCCCCAATAAAATGAATTTTAAAAGGGAGAGGAAGGTGAGGAAGAAAGGGGGAACCAATCACAATGATCAGTATACAACCACCCACCATCCCAGGGGAACAAGCGACAGAAAAGTGGGTGAAGGGAGACAAGGTCAGTGTAAGACATGAAAATAATAGTAATTTATAAATCATCAAGGGTTCATGAGGGTGGAGGAGGGAGGGGGAAAATGAGGAGCTGAAAGCAAGGGCTCAAGTAGAGGAAAATGTTTTGAAAATGATGGCAACATATGTACAACTGTGCTTGACACAATGGAGGGATGGATGGATTGTGATAGCTGTAGAGCCGCCAATAAAATGATTTTATATATATATGTATTTACATACACACACACACACACACACACACACACACACATATATATATATATCCCACTCTGTGGGTTCTCTTTTTGTTTGATGAAGTCTTTTGGTGCACCTAAGTATCTTGTTTTCAGTCGGTCCCAGTCATCCATGACGTCTTTAGGCGACATTTAGGCGGTGTGTGTTTCCTTTGGTATATTTGATAGTGTGTCTGCAACCCAGGCTGCTTTTAACTCTGGCAAAGTGGAGGTGGTCACCATCAAGGACTCCTTCACTGACCTCAACTGTCTGCTCTATGTCACATGTTCCAGTACGACTCCACCCACGGCAAGTTCAGTGGTACTGTCGGAGCTAGGAATAGGAAACTTGCCGACCATGGTAAGTCCACCCGTCTTCCAGAAGCGAAATCCTGCTTCCATCAAGGGGGATGATGCTGGTACCGAACATGTTGTTCAGTCCGTTGGTGCCTTCACAACCTTTGAGATGGCTGGGGCTCACTTGAAGGGCAGCATCATGATGGCAACTCAATCATTTCTACTCTTCCAGACAGTGCCCCCTTGTTTGTGATGGGCATAAATGAGAAGTCTGGCGACTCCCTCAAGGTCATCACCAATGTCTCCTGCACCACCAGCGATGTGGCCTTCCTGGCCTTGGTCACCCATGATAACTTTGGCACCATGGAAAGACTGATGGCCACAGTCCATGCCATCACTACCCCTAAGGAATATGGGTGACCCTTTTGAGAAACTGTGGTGTGATGGCCGAAGGTTTACCCTGAACATCATCTTGGCATAAATGGGTACTGCCAAGCCTGTGGACAAGGTGGAATGAGAAGACCATTGGCATGGCCTTCCAGGTTCCCACCCCCAACATGTGGATGCTGAATCTGACCTGCCCTCTGGAGAAAGTTGCCAGATAGGATGACATCAAGAAAATGTCGCCTAAAGTGTATTGTGGGCTACACTGGATCCCAGGTTGTCTCCTGACTCTAACAATGACACCCATTCTTCCAGGTGGCATTGCCCTTGATGGCCACTTTATCATGCTGATTTCCTGGTATGACAATGGCTTTGGCCACAATTGACCTTGTGGTCCACGTAGCCTCTAAGGGATAAGAGCCCCTGGGACTACCAGCTCCAGAAATAGCAAGAGAGGAAGAAAGAGGACTTCAACTGTTGGAGAGTCCTAGCCGCGTCTCCATCTCCCAACACTGAAAAATCCCCCATCCTTGACACTGTGAATGAAGTAGAAGAGAGGCTTAGAAGCCAACCTTGTTGCGTGTCATCAGTGACGTACACAATACCTACCCGACACCCCACCCCTCAAGAAATTTAAGAGAGTCAAGACTTCTTAGTGAAAGAAGGTGGTTCCATATTAAAAGAATTCCCGCCAGCCTGCCTTCTCCAGGTAAGATTCTCCAGCTCTCCTCCTCTGTCCTACATAAATCAAGCAGATGTTTCAAATGATTTATTCATTCGACAGACAATTCATAGTTAAATAAACATAGCCCAATAACAGATACTTTATAGAGAAATGGACTAATGATTCCAACTTTCTCTGGCTCACTCCATCTTTTGCCACTCTCTCATTCACTGTCATTGAGTCGATGCCGACTCATAATGACCCTATATATACCACAGGGGTAGAACTGCCCCTGAGTTTCCAAGGCTGCAACTCTTTGTGGGAGTAGACAGCCCCATCTCTTCTCCCATGGAGCGGCTGGTGGTTTCGAACTGCTGACCTTGCAGACTACAACCCAACATGCATCACTACGCCACCAGGGCTCCTCTAGGGGGCTTTTAAAAGTACTACACAGACCTGCCAGGGGGCTGGGAAAGGGCAAACGAGCTAAGGAAGAAGGAGAGCTGCTGGGAACAGAAGGATGTCCAAAGCAACGGCCAGAAGACAAGGCCTAATTCAGGACAGACCTCCTTGCAGCACCTAGTGGGTAGGCATCCCTTCTGAGGGACGCAAAAAATCCTATCTGAGTGCCCCCAGTGCATCGCCGGTCCCCGACGTCTATAGTATCACTGCTCTTTAGCCTGCCTCTGCAGTCTAATGTCTACGGGGAAAGTAGCCTGGAAGCCTGGACGGGCAGTGAGACCGTCGGGGGGAACTGCTTGGCATCCAGCTTGTCCTTGTACTGCAGCTCAGGGGTCACCAGTCGCTCACACTCCTCCTGATCGTCGGGGCTCAGTCCACTGCGAAGTATATAACCCAAAACCTTAGCTGACCCAAACTGGAAAGGGCGGAACCGATGGTCAGTGATATACTTGGGGTCGAGAGCCTCGCCCCCCAGCAGACAATGTTTAGCCAGGGCCTCTCGCCGAGCCCGGAGCTCGGCCACGGCGCTCTCCAGCCGGCTCTGGCCATATTGCTCTATGCGTGTCCATAGACTGCGGTTGAAATGGACGTAGAGAGCCCAGTCCAGGTTGTTCCAGGCGCGGGCTCGTGCAGCCAGCTGCTGCTCCTCCTCCGTCACCCTCCCTTCCCTGAGAGCACCGAGGGCCCGCTGACCGCCAGCCTGTGCATTGTGCATGAAGCCCACCACATCGTCCAGACCCCAGCACAGGGCATCTGCCAGCAGGACCAGCGACTCATCAAAGTACTCTGCCACCAAAACCAGGTCAAAGACAGAGTCTAGCCAGGCCAGACCCCACTGGATTAAGGAGGAAGACCACTGATCTAAAGAGTCAGGGCTGGATGCCTGACGATGACCATTGGCCACCGTGGGAACAGGATGGAAGAAGGCATTGGGCTCCAGGGTGTGGGCTGGAGGGTTAACGCCGGCAGGTGGGACATGCTGCTGTAGAGTGTTAGAATCTCTGAAAAGATGGGGATTCCTTCTCGCGGTCTTCATATCTGGGGGGAAGGGGAGGCCAAAGTCAAACCACAGCAAGTTCCGGGCATAGTGGTCCCCGCGAGCTCCAAGTCGGTAGAAGGCTCGAGGATTGGCTAAGAAGGCCGCCAAGGAGGGGGCTTTGCGGAAGGCCGAGGAGGTGGATTTATAGTAGGAGAAGGCAGAATGGGCCAGAGTTGCTGGGTCTCGGACAATGGAGAAGAAGAAGCTGTCAGAAGGCATGACTCGAAGGACCTGCAGAGACGAGAGAGCAGACGAAAGGAGAAGGCTAACTGGGCCAGGGAGACACGAACTACGCCAAACTGCCCCCTGCCCTCCACCCCAGCCCCCAGTTTTCTCAAACCTCCTTCTGACAGTTCTGCTGAGACGCCTCCCCCCACCCCCACCCCCATCCTCAAGCTGTCCCTCACTCTCTGTGTGGCCTTGGACACATTTATTGATGATCTCCGCCCGGGTACCATTTGCTTATCTGCAAAATGGGGCTAAGCATACCTTCCTCTCCGGGTGGTTGTGAAGGTTACGGGTGGTTGTGAAGGTTACGTGAGATAAAGGAGGGAGAGGAGCGTGGAGCATCATTTTCTCTAAGACCACATTCATCTCCTGGGGCCTTTCTGTCTGCCTGGGGCGGGAAAACTTCTAGGGACCAGACTTTGTGGTCACGTCTCCAGCCTATGAACTGCCTACTTGGAATCTCTCGGTCACCATTTCCAAGAAAGGAATGGGCCTCAGGCCTCTTCAAGGAGTCCCTGGCAGCGAGGGGGCTGGAGAAGGGGTTAACAGGAATGCTGTCCCTACAGACTTCTGGTAGACGGGCCAGATCGAAGGGTAGGGCAGTACTGAGGCTCCTGGGCATCATGGAGAACAAGAGACATCATAGGAATGGGGCACTGGGGAGCCATGGCCTCCGTCCGGGTGGGCTACGCGTGTTAATCCTACATCTCAGCAAGAAGGAAGAGGGCAATTGAATCACAAGTCAAGGTGGCTCTATATCAGAACATCTCTCCTCAGCTTTGCCCTCGAGGAATGTCTGCCTCTGAAAATGGAATGTGTCGTTGAACCTCCCCTCTTCGTGAAAACATTGGCCCGGCACTGCTAGTGCCAGGGTTCCAGCAGGGCACAGCCCATGAACGATTTGTCTCTCTGCAGGCATCGTGCAGGGCAGTGGTGCAGAGGATGCTATTTGGGCACCAGATGGACCCGGAATACCACCCCAACTTTGCCATGTATTAACTGTGTCCTTGGAGACAGATTGCTGAACTTCTCCAAGCCTTCATCTCTCCATGTCTACATCTGGGTTGACGCTTACCTTGAAGAAGGTGCAAGTGCACGGATCATGGTGAGCATTCAAGGACTAGTGATAACAATGAAGGTCAGTATCCCGAACCCTGGAGCAACCGACTTTAAAGAGCATTCTCATCACATCACTCTCCACTGCAGCCCCTCACCGCCCATCCGACCACACTCACACCCCTCGGTCTACCATCGAAGCCTTTGATTATTTGCAGCTCTGGCTCCAAAGAAGGAGTTTTTGCCGCTCCGGCTAAACTTGTTCTACCACCTACACACCCCTTCCCTCCCTTATCCACACATGCCCTGCCATGATCCTGCTGCTACTTTGCCTGCTTTCCTCCTGACTGAAACATTCCATCTTTAAAACCCACCTCTTGCCAGTACCTCAGCGGCTCCTTAGAAGACAGACCTACCCATCTACTTCTGGAACCTCATCCTCCCGACACTTCAGCTCCTGAGGACCCTCTGGGGCACAGTTCTACTGTGACACACACGGGGTGGCTATGAACTGGAATCAACTCAGCAGCAACAAGGTCAACGGAGAAGATAATGAAGTCGTAAACTAATCCTTGAATCGCTATTGAAGGTGAAGACTCTCTGAGAGCAGCTTGACTGGCATTGGACAGTGGGGTGAAGTGGAACACCTCTCCAGAAAGCCACACCTTTCCTGAATGCTCTCCCTCCGATGCCAAACGCACACACAGGCACTCGTGAATACACACACACACACACACACACACACACACACAGCTACGGAATCTGGATTCGAATTGTAGCTCTGCCACTTTTTAACCCGATGACTCAGCAAATCACTTCTCAGAAACTCAGTCACCTCATCTGGAGAAGAGAGACATTTAAAAATGCCTTCCTGACAAGGTGACTGCCAGATTAATACCCAGCCCTCAGTAAGCATTCAATAAAGGCTAGTGCCTACCTTGTGATTCTTCACTTGCAGGGTGATTTGTCTTTTCTGTAAAAGCTTGCAGGTGTGTGTGTGTGTGTGTGTGTGTGTGTGTGTACGCATACATTCATATACATTCATTTCCCCCACTAGAATTGAGATTCCTGGGAGTGCCAGAGGAGCTCTGGTAGTGCAGTGACTAAGGACTCAGCTACTAACTAAAAGGTCAGTGAGTCGAACTCAGCAGGTGCTCTGTGGGAGAAAGATGTGGCAGTCTGCTTCCTCAAAGATTCCCAGCCTTGGAAACCCTAGGCAGCAGTCTCACTCTGCCTTTTCTGGTGCTGCCTGCTGGAATCCACTCCATGACAATAGTTTGGGGTTTTGTTGTTTGTTTGTTTTTTGTCTTGGGGCGGGGACGGGGAGAGCCAGGCCTGGGTCTCTTCCCAAATCATTTGCAGAACCCAGCCTAGGGTCTAGCAACTACAACGGAGATGGTGAGAAGAGTGGGGGGAAGGCCAAGCAAGGTGCCTGGCGATGACAGTAGAAGGGACCCAAACAAGCAAGGGGTCCCTGGATAGAGAGTTCGGCGGTTACGGTGGGCAGGGGAAACAGTGGCATCAGGCTAATACTCTGGTCTTGGAAAGGGACAAGAGGTTAGCTCCAGATGGGAGTGAGCAGGAACTTGGATCCCAGGGACTACTGGGAAAGGGACCCTCAGAGAGCAGGGACAGGGACCCTCAGAGAGCAGGGACAGAAAATCCCACCTGCGTAGCCCCAGGACCAACCCTATGATGAGGTGAGGACTGGGCGGCCCCCAGGCCTCTGCCCACCTCCCCACCATGGTCTTGACCACAGGCCCGAGCCCAGCTCTTTCCAGTCCTACCTCTCCCCTATGCCTCTCACCTCTTTCAGGTTGAACCTCATGTGGTGACAGAGAATGTGGAAGGGGAACGGCGTCCCTTCATCCTGGGGGTGGTAATTTTTGACCCGGGAGGCCTGGAAAGGCTTCGGGTAGCCGAACTGGTAGCGGGCAGGGAGGGCAAAACGCAGCCCATGCCGGTCCCCATAGCGATGAAGCAGGTTCAACACGGAGCTGCTCCCCGACTTATGTGTCTTCAGGAACACCAGTCGCTGCCTGGGGGGGCAGGATGGAGGACTTGGGCGCTGTGACAAGGTCCAGGGCTGTCGAAGCTGGAGCCCAACTCCAGGTAGCCTGTAGAGAGAAGGGAGGGGGAAGCATCCTGTTGCTCACCAGCCAGTGTGTGGGCACCTGGTAGAGAAAGAGCAGAGGGTATAACACCTCCCCTGCCTGGCCCCTCTGAGTCTCTAAGGGTCCCCCAAATCCCACCGCCAGGTGGGGCAATGGGCCATCCAGGGAGAGTAGAACAAGGTGGAAACTCACCTCCTCTGGAAGGGCCCCCCCCAGAGTTGCAGGGCGAATCCAATGGTCATGAAGACTCCCAGAGCCACACCCAGGCTCCGAGGCCCCCAGAGCCAGAATCGCATTGTCCTGGTGGGAGACAGGGACCCCATGTGGCCCACGCGATGCTTGAGAGGAGCAGGGCAAGACAGGGGACTGAGGCAGAGAGAGCCTGGGGTAGCCTGCTAGCCGCTGAAGGCGCCGACTGGAGATGGGGGGTCATTCCCCAGGCCCGCTTGCCTCCCGGGTTGCGTCTGCCCCCTGAGTTGGCAGATTTTTGCCTCTGTCAGCGTCTAGAAGAGAAACGAGGGGGAGGGAGTGGCGCCCAAAGAGATGGGTAAGTCAAGAGCCATCTCTTCCCCAAGCAGCTGAAGCTGAATTCAGGAGGGGTGCTCGCTCCCCAGGGGCTCCCCCCAGCCTGCCCCCCTGTGCACTCAGCCTCTGGCTCAGACTCAAATCCCCAATCTCTCACCTCTAGTTCCTCCGAGAGCCTCTGGGATTTAGGCGGGAAGGGGAGAAAGAGCCCTGATCACACCTAAAAGCGCCAGCGTGAGATCTGAGATTCGAGTCCAGGACAGTGCCGGCAGGGGCAGCGGTGGTCACTCAGGCACTGCCAGGCCTGTGGCTCCCTCCCAAGCACCTTGACCTGTGACCGGAGATGAAGAGCCTCACTTAGAGGCTGGCCAGAGAAGCCACCCGCAGGCAATGAGGGTGGGACACGGGATGGCTGTGAATCAGAACGATTCAAAAGCAGTGGGTTTGGGGGTGGGGGGGACAGTGGCAGGGGGGGGCCTACTAGGGAAGAGGGAGTAGGAAAGTAAGGGGGGGCTTTCTAACAAAGATCAGCTATCTCCTTGCAAACTCGGACACCCCCCCACCCCAACCTCACCCCCGTCCCCCTCCAGCTAAGGGCTCCCAGCACTAGAAAACCTCAGTGTGTGGCAGAGGTTGGAGGAGACCTGGAGGTCCTTTAGAAAGCTCAGGTTCCAGGACCACTGCACCACCACCCCCATCCCACTCTGCAGCCCCAGCAGAAGAGGCAGAAGAGACTGGGAGGGTGGTGCTGGGGAGCAAGAAACGCATCTGGGGCACAAAGGCACGGACGCAGAAAGGAAAACAGCGAACTCCGGAGTTTGTTCTTCTCCAGGCCAGAGCTTGCCCACCAGCGAGGGATCAAGCCCCGCCCCTTCGGGTTGCACCCCACAATTACTGGCCCGGCCCCTCCAAGACCCGGCAGCCTCCTTCCCTTCTTCGATGTCCCAGACAGAGCGAGCCGGCAGCTGCTACTGGGCAGCCAGCCCTACCCCCTCTCCCCATCCCCTCCCAGCCAAGACGCCCTGATTTTTCCATTTCCCTCTACCCAGCTCTATCTCCTCCCACTCCCCCACCCCAGCCGGCGGTCACCTCCAGCTTTGGCGGCTGCTCAGCCTGTTGCCAGTCCTGGGGGGGTGCCCCCTCCAGGGGTCTCTTCTCCATAAATTCGAGGGTCTCTGGGCTTCACGCACCCACTCACCAGGCCACGTGGGGAGCTGCAGGGGAATCAGGGTCGGGCCTGCAGCCCACCACAGCCTGGGCCTGGCTCCTCCTCGTTTGCTCGCTCGGCTTAACTTTCCCCACAAACTTTCTCTGTGTGCAGGCTCCTCCCCTGCCTTTGTGCCTCCAGTCCCAGCAGGGCTTGGACCGCTGCGCTCTCCCACTCCCTCTCCCTCCCTCTGGCTCCTTTCCTCCTCCTTGGGGCTCCTTTCCTCCTCCTTGGGGCTCCTCAGTCTACCCTGGGAGGATACCGCCCACCCTCCTTTTGCACCTAGGAATCAATTATAGCTTTTTCTCTCAACTTGCGACAGAACAGAAGATGCATTCAGGTGACAGAGGGACAGTGACGGACAGGAGATAAAAGCCGACATTGTCAGAAACCGAACAGGTCCCCAGAGACCCATAGGCACAGAGAGCAAGGATCCTCCCCCACCATAGAAGGCAGGGGGCCCGTCGCGGTGTGGACATATTCTGGTCATCCTTGGATGGCCCCCTGGGAATGACAGGGTGCTTCCTCCCATAGGCTCTCTGTGGGCCTCACAAACTGCCCCATCTGACCGGGGACAACACGGAGGGTGGCCACACGTAATCCCAAGGGTGTTCAGACAGCAGTCAGGGAGGGCTGCCAGGCACAGAGGGTGGCACGCGGAGTCCCATAAATTAAGCATTTATTTTGAGAGTGAACACTGAGTCGAAAACACTGGAACATGACATGGGGAAAGTCGGTCAGGAGGGATGGGGATGGTAGACAGAGGTCATGGGATGAATCGCTTCGTTTCTTCTTTTTTCCTGTATGTTAGTCTAAGAAATTGATACTGAAAACAGTCAACACATCCAGACCCCACATCCTGACTTCACACACACACACACACACACACATACACAGTCCCTCCCCTACACCCCACCAACACCCAGCTCTCATCCATTTCTGAGCCCAGGTACCCCACCCCGTGTGACTTCCACCCCTCCCCCACTTCCACCTCAGTACTTCAAACCCCACCCGCAACTGGAACAGTAACAAAAATCTTCCCCTTCTCCCTAGTTGAGGCAGACCCCCCAGCCCCAGGCTTACGGGCTTGGAGACCACACCTCCTCTCCTAAATAAATACCCACTATCGGTCACCAAACGAGGGGGGAAATATGACCGCCGCCTTCTCAAAGCCCACCAACAAGAATCTCCTGGATCTGGGCCCCCCTGGGCCATTCACTGCAGTCCCTTCAACTCCCCCCCAGACCCAGCTGAGGTGGGAGGAGGGGAAAGGGCCAAGAGCCCTTCTGGTGCTAGGGTACCCCCCCCCCCCCCCCGCCCTGTTACCGAGGTCCAAGCAGGGCCAGGACTGGGAGGAAAAGGATGAGGATGGGGTGGCTGTGAAAACCAGCAGGTGGCCCCCCACCCCTGCTCCTGCCCTGGTTGTAGCGGGAACCACCACCTCCTTTGCCCCCAGGGCTGTCTCTTCGGGGAGGGCGAGGGGGCCTGGCTGGAGGGGCCACAGCCGCTGTCCCAGCCATCCAGTCATCGGCGTAGTGCTGCCCTCCGCCGGAGCCACTGCCGTCCTCATCTGCAGGGCAGGAAAGGGGCACAGATGGACAACAGGCGGGGCGACAGACACAAGCGAGAAAAGGGGAGAGAAGGGCCAGAC